GAAAATACTTTCTACCCCTACATTGAAACTTGATGGTTCTAACTTTAGAGGAGAAGGAGATAAATGCTACAATGGTCAAGGAAATAAATGCTACAATGCGGAGACAGTGGTAACAGCAGTGGTGCTTCCTGAAAGCCGAGTTCCACTGCTGAAGAGAGAGAGAATTCTTAATTGAACAAGCCTACACACTAACAGCTGCAACATTCAAGAGTTCATCTGATATGAAATGAGCCAGGCCTAGAGGTACACACCTATAACCTCAGGATTACAAAGTTCAAAGTCATCCTACGTGGCGGGTCTGAAGTTAGCCTGAGATACAGGAGAACCTTTCTAAAACAGACAAATTAAAAACAAAACAAAAACTCACAAAAACTAAAGAAATAGGATACCAGTGAGTGTTGAGGGTCAAAGGCTAATCTCAAAATTTATTTAACCTTCCCTGCAAGTGAATTAGCGGGTACTTTGGGAAAAAAAGAAAACAAAACAAAACCTGGGCCTGATGGGTATTTCTGTAATATCAACACTTCAAAGATGGTAACAGAATTATCAAATGGTTCAAGGCAAACCTCTGTTACATAGTAACTTTGAGGCAAACCTAGGCTATATGAGACTTTGTCTCAACAAACAAAGAACAAGAAAAAGGAAGGAAGAGAGAAAGGGAGGGAAAGGAAAAGCTGCTACATTATCGGTTAAGTGAAGAACATCAAAATTAAACAACACAAGTATTTAACTACAATTAAAGAAGTAGGGGCCGTGAATTTCAGAGAGCAGATGGTTATATGGGAAGGGTTGGAAGAAGAAAAGGGAAAGTGATGTGATTATATTTTAATTAAAAAATAAAAAAATACTTGAAAATATTGTCTAGAAGATTATTCTTCACAAAATCAACCAGCAACAGTCCCAGCTATGATTATGAAGAAGCTGCCTACATGCTCTAATTGAAGCATGCTACCTTCCTTCCGTGTGTGTCTCGAGCACAAGTTTGTATTGGAGACAGGGTCTCACGTAGCCCAGGCCAGTCATAACCTTGCTATATAGTCAAGGATAACCAACTACTGACCCTCCTGCCTCCACTTCCAAGAGCTGGGATTACAGATGTGTACCACTAAACCTAACTATGAAGCCTCATTTCAACACCTAAGGATAATTCAAGTTATTTATTTATCTATCTATCTATTTATTTATTTTGGCTTAATTACACAGTAGATCCTCATGCTAACTGGCTAATAGCATGCACTCATCTACTTCACAAAATGAGTCCAAGTTAAGGACCCTTGCTTAAATAAATTGAGATAAAAGGTGGGAGGATAAGTTTTGTCAATCTGTCATAATCTAGAACCACTGGGCGTCTCAATGAGGTACGGTCTAGATTAAATCAGCCTGTGGGCATGTCTCAGGGAATTGTCTTCCTGGGTTTGAGGCCTCGACCATAAAAAGTGGAGAAAGTGAGCTGAGCATGGGCATGTATGTGCTAACTCATTGCTCTCTATGGCTGTATTGTGAGTAGCTGCTTCTAACTGGTTGCCTTAAGTTCCTACTACCCTGACCTCTCCCCACTTTCCCATGATGGATTGTAACTTGGAGTGGTGAGCTAAATAGACCTTTTCTCCCTTATGGTATTTTTGTTGGGGTATTTTGTCAGAGCAGCAGGAAAGACGATGAGGACAGATGGTCTTTCTGATTTCCAGGTGCAGGGGGCAGCAAATGCTAAGAGGTATCCCAGAACCCAAAGTGGAGAAAAAGCTCACAATTGTAGGCAATTTTTTTCTTAATCTTTGTCTGTCTGTGGTGGAAAGAAACATAGCAAATGGAAAATTCATTTCACACCCCAACTCTATGACTCCCTAGAAGACATTCCTGTGAATTCAGTGGTAGGAAGGGATGCTTCTCAGCTGAGGCAGGGATCATGGAAAGAAGCACTCTGATTTTCCATGGCATGCACTGGACACGTGCTGTTGCCAGCAGCAACCCCAGCTTTTACTGTGAAGAGGCTGCCTGCAAGAATGTAGATCTGTCTGACTGAAGCCCCAATTCAACCCACCCATGGACAGTGAGTTTCCACATTTGCATATTCACAAGCCTGCAGTATAGAACTAGTGGCTATCTATCTTTAGGGTCTGCTAAGGCTGAAATATAAAAATCCAATGAATATGCACTTCTCCTGGTAAAGACTCCATGCTGTACTTAAAACTAACTACAATAATGGAAATACCCCTAATTAAATGTACACTTCAGGCAAGCCTGATTTTTTTTTCCCTCCGAGAGACAGGATCTCATTAAATAGCTCTGGCTGGCCTGGGACTTGCTAAATAAGTAAATCAGGCTAGCTTCAGACTCAGATTCACCTGCCTCTTGCCTCCCAACTGCTGGGATTAAAGTTGTGTGCCACCACAGTTGGCTCCAATTTTCATTTTTAATTCATATAAACACTTCCACATTTGCTGTGGAAAAATGACTATGCTGTGGAAAAGTAATGACTTATATATAATTAGGAAAAGTTTAAATATTATAATTCAAATAATCAGAGAGGCATTTGCCACTCTAATTTTCTAAGATTTTTCTACTTCAGTTTGCCCATGGCTTCTTCTTGATAGTAGGTCATTTTAAAACTGAAACCACACTTCTGTTCTCAGTTGAGTAACAGAACCAAGAACCAAGAATTAGATATGTCACTTAGGATACAGTATATATACTGGACCCTATGTTTCTGAATTTACAAACAGAACTATAATATCCACAAATCTATGTACTAATATATACCCAATGTGACCACTGACTGCAATATAAACTATATTTATTAGATTTTACCTGAATTCAGTTTATTGCCAGGAAAGGGCACAAGAGTTAGGCAGTTACTGGAGCCCAACACAAAAGCTGCCCACTATATCCAATTCCTATTTTATTTATTTGTACTGATTTTCCCTTAGATTAACTCCATCTTCCCTATCCCCACCCTCCAGCTGTTACACTGTTGTGTGCAACTTTGTTTCTTACAGAATAAAATTTCATGGCTGCCAGAACTCAATGCTGCAACTGTTAATATGCAGAGAAGAATTGGAAAAGTCAATGAAAGGGGTCATTAAAAAAGACACAAATGAAAAAGACTTGCTTTCTTAACTTTAAGCCTAACTACTTACTAACTTACCTAACTACTTACTGAAGGGATGACTTGGCCCTACTCTGAGGCAAGTTACTAAAACCCTTATTTTCCCTTCTAAAGCATAGATCCAATGCGCAAAAGACGGCATTTGTTAAAGAACAAAACCAAATCTGATTTGACTTCTCCATTGCAATATTTAGGATATAAACAATCCATCTCCATCAATTAGCCTTCACTTTTCAGATGGGCTACTTTCTCAGTAGAATGGCAGGACACCAAAATGAGAAGGAGAAGTCAATGTCAGAGTATAAATAGCTGTGGCCAGAAACAATATATCGCAAAAGAGCCAATAGGAGAAGGCTCCCCAAACTGCAGTATAAATGACTTAATTCAATGTCTCCCTTCACGAGCGCATCAGGGAAAACCACCAACAGCAAACAAAAGATGAAAACAACGAGAATAGACACAAGATTTCTAACCTCATGTCAAAAAGACAGCCTTACTGTATTTTCTAGGGTTTCTGAGAACATTTTTAAGCTTCAGCCGGAACTTAATGAAAATTAAGCTGGACCTTAATATTCTTGAAAAAGAAACCTTTTAAAATGGGAGTCAGCTATAAATACACGCGAGTAAATAGTATAATGAAAAGACAGGGGCTGACTATTTTTAATTATATTTGTTTAGATTTAGTGTTCCTACAGTTAACCCAAACGATCAGTAATTTCACGCGACTTTGGTTAAAATATTAGAGTTAGTATGCTTCAATTGCATGGAGTACACACTTCACTTTTTAAATGTCTGCTGGACATTAACCGATTGCTGTTAAGCACTGAAAGTCATTAAGTTTACAAGATTCTGTGGTGGAGCGCGCGCCCTCGCGCGCGCACGTACTCTAAGCATCAGCAGCACAAACGCAAATGCAGGCATCAGAAAGTTACATAAGAAAAGCGGTCTGTCCTCTGGAAATCAGTTCAAGCATACAATAATCTAGTAAACTGTATATGCTACGTGCCGGGCTGGGTTACAGGAACTAGGTAAAAAAGCAATGCAAAATGCACTGGGAAATGAGGGCACCTAAGACTGAATGATGCAGACAACGCCACCAGAGGCATCTTCTGGCATTCCTTCGGAAGGAGCAAGAATGGGTTGTCTTTAATGAGCCCCTGATGACCTGGCTAACGGCATAGCCTAAAACCACCATATCCTGAAACAAATCCCACCGTGTGGGAGAGAGAAGCCTGGAGGAGTCGCACAAGTGATCGATCCATTCACTAAAGCTACCCAGGGTTGTCACCGGCCTGGGACTCGCGCACTCCCCGGCACTGCCACCTGCTCTCGACTTCCTCGGGAAGAGGTGGTGGCGCGCGGGACCCGGCCCACAGGCTCCAAAGGCAGGACTAATGATGAATAATGTGTGCTTCCTAAACCCTGAGCTCAAGCCTAGGTTTCCCGGGGTCGGGTCCGGGACGGCGCGCGGCCCCACCGTGGAAGGCTGAGAAGTTTCCCACGGCGGAGCCGGGGCATGGAGAAATGAGGGGAGGGGGCGGCGCCAAGCCTGAGCGCTGGAAGCCACAACCCGCCGGCCGGGACCACAGGGAGGCAGGCTGGGGGCGGTGCCGTGCGGAGCCACACAGGGGCCCGGCTCGGGGATCCCCCCTCACGGGGCGCGGACAGAGAGGGGGCACCCTGGCCGCTACCTGCTGTTGGATCTTCCCGTCCTCCGTGACGACCCAGTGCGTAGTGGCCAAGGCCCCTCGAGCCACCACGCTCAGCAAAGCGTAAAGGCTGAGGAGCCATCCTGGCCCGGCGCAAGGCGGCAGCCCGAACCGGCCGCGGACCCCTATTGCCGCCGCCATCTTGCCCCCCCCCAGCCGGGCCGCTCACACCGGAAGCGGAAGTTACTCCTTGCCGTCCGCCATCTTGGGGAGGTCGCCTCTAGAGCAGGAGGAGGAGCCCGCCCACTAGTCACTTCAGCATTGCTTGGGGGCCCCGGCACTGCTGCCCCTCGGAGTTGGAAAGTGCTTTTTAGTTATCGTTTCCCTCTAGGCTATAGGATCTCCAAGCGTGGGAACCAGAGGGGAGATAATGATATCAGACTAGGTGGAGCTTGAGCAGAAGTGAGAAGACTAGGTGGTGGTTCTTTTTAAGAAGTAAGTATTGTTTCTGGCAGGGCAATGAAAGATGCTTTCGAACTACCTAAGAGAGGCATTTTTTTTACAAGGTTCGTCATGGAGTGTCCAGCGGCGCAGTCCTACTGTAATGCGTGTGACATAGGGAATGAAAACATAGCTCTAGTTAACTTGTCAAATACAAAACAGCAGTTCAAGACAAGATCTGCATGTATGATCGGTATAGATACTTTGTTTCTTCCTAAATTTGGAAAGCGAAATGTACTTACAGATCAGTTACATCTGGTGTAGCCAGACTTCCGGGCGGTAACAGCAGCATGTGTCTAGAGGACTTCGGTGGGCAGCTCAAGTCTAATCTAAAGGCGTAGGTGTAGAACCCAGATAGTGGCATCTCCTGGGATCGTATTAAATATGCAAGTTTTCAGCACTTGTGGCTCCCCTCCCCCCAGGCCCTGCGAATCTAAGGAAAGTCTCAGGTGATTGATTTGCATATTTATTAAAATTAGAAGCTAACTACCGGCAGGTAAACTAGCAATAGCAATTAACTAGCTTAGGTTCCAGCTTCTACCAGCGTTACGTTCTTACAGATATTTCAGGACTGCCTACTCGTATGGCAGTATGGCGTATCATTTTGTGTTGACGTTTGTTATGCTTTTTTTCTGTTGGGGAAAGGATGAGAATAGGTGTGTTGCAGGAAAACAAAACAAACATCTGCCTCACGCTATGGGAACTGAGACCATGACATTGTTTAATTCTGACAGCAGTTCGGTTTTGTTTTTGAAATGAAGTCCCCATATGCAGCCCAAGTTCCCTGAAATTTATAATTTAGCCCAGGCTGGCCTTGAAGGCCTTTGTCAGCCTCTTGATGCTGGTATTACAGGCATGAACCATCAGGCCCAGCCCCCAGGGCAGCTTAAAGTACTGATGACAAAGAACATTCATTTTACTAAAAAGGTGCAACTAGGGGTTGGAGAGATGACTCAGGGCTGAAGAGCATTTTTTGCTCTTGCTCACAACTACCTGTAACTCCAGCTCCGGGGGATCCGCCTTTATACATGTGGCACACATTCTCATACACAAACACATGTACACCATACATATATATCTGTCTTTTGCATGGTAGTGGAGACTGGGCAAGGAAATATGAACACTAAGCTGTAAGCCAGGATGTTGATGAGTTAATTAAAATATAGACAATGGGAGTGTGATAAGGGTGTATGTGTAGAGGAGAGAGCTACAACCAGGTGAAAAAAGGCTTGGCACAAAGGTAAAGTGTGGTAAAGGTGATGCTGGTGTCAAGTCGTTAGGGAGTCGTGTGTCATATTGAGTTTAAATGTAGACAATAAGGAGTGTAACTGAGTTTTAAAGTAGTGACAAACAATGGAATCCTTTTTTTCTCAGCACTTTATTTCTGGATGTAGTCATCTACTGTATATAAAATAATTAAAGTGGCATCATCATTTGATTTTTTTTTAAAGATTTATTTATTTATTATGTATACAACATTCTGCCTCCATGTATCCTTGCATGCCAGAAGAGGGCACCAGATCTCATTATAGATGACTGTGAGCCACCATGTGGGTGCTGGGAATTGAATTCAGGTCCTCTGGAAGAGCAGTCAGTGCTCTTAACCTCTGAGCCATCTCTCCAGCCCCATTTTTTTTTTTTTTTAACAATGCTAGCGACTGAGCCCAGGGCCTTGCATATACTAGCGAAATACACTACTACTGAGCTATGTATCTGTAGCCCATCATTTAATAACTTTTAATACACCTACTTGGTTTCAGAACTCCAGAACAGATTGATTAGAATCCCTAATACATATTTTAACTATTAGCAATTCCTTTGGCATCTAGCCTTTGGGAAGGAAGCAAATTAGCTTCTATGAACTCAACTGATCATTCACTTTTTTTGTAGATCATAACCCTTGTCCTTTGAGACATTTTGTCTCAGAAGTTGAGAGCTGTCCATGGTTTTCTGTTGTGTAGCTTATCTTCACAGCAGCTTAACACTTTGAGTTTCTATGGAAAGAGAGTATGGTTTGGCATGGCTTATTTTCTATTCAGTCTCACAAGACTGGTATCAAGGTTACACTCTGAAGCTTGGTGGCAGGGTTAGGTTAGTGTTCTCTTCAATCTTCAAGCTCATTCAAGTTCTTGCAGCTTTTAGTTCTTTGCTGTTGTAGGACTGAGGTCTGTCTTCTTGCTGGATGCTGACAAGCAATTAATGCAAAACACCCACTATGTCTTGCTATGTAGCTCACAACATAGCCATTACTTTTAAGGCCAGTAAGAGAATGTCTCCATTGTTTGAAACTTTGACTTACTTCATCTCTAGGCTAGATTTAATGAATTTCTATAAGATTCCCAAGTGAATAATCTTCCTTTTAATTAACCACAAATTAGCTTATCTGTGACTATGACATTTGCAATACCTTTGGCTAAATAATGTAGAATTTCAGGAGTGACATATTACTACATGTGTCTTCCATAGTTCAGGTGGATCTTTTAAAATCCCAGTCTTATTAAAGTATAATTGGAAATAAAAATTGTGTATATTCAGTGTACAAGGATGTCTATGTATGAACACCATTCCTGTGTTGGGTATCCCTAATGCAGAGAAGAGTGTTTGCTTCTTCCTTCCGGGCCTTTACTTGTGCTTCCTTTTCTGCAATTTAAGGTACAGCTCAAATCCTAGTTCGTAAAGATGTCAGCTTTCTTGCCACCTCTGAACTTTGTAGCACTAATGACATACCATACTACTTTGGGATTTACTTTCTACATTTTGAGCACTGAAGCTCTTTAGTAATTTCTGCAAAGGTTCTTAGGTCTAGTCTAGTGAGACACAATACACAGTAAAACTAGGAAAAGGAATATATAATACAGGTAGGCAGCAAAGATAAATAAAGCCAATAAACTTTCCCTCCAAGGTCAGGGAAGCTGCCCAGGGCAGATGGGAATGTCCTGTTATTACCACATCTGAAAGCTCCCGAAGCACTTCGGGTTTTGTACTCTAGGTGTAACTGGTGTCACTGAGCAGAAACATGTAGAACATCCTAGTTTAGAAAGAACAAGGATACTACCCTTGTGCAGGTTTCTATCCCCAAGTTAGGTCAGTTCACTCTTGGTATGTTCTGAGACATACAAGCAGGATTGGGAAAAGCTGGGCTGACCAAGGCCACCTCGGGGGTCTGTCCTAAAATTCTTTGTTCATTTAACCTAGACTATTAGCAGCTAAAACTGGAATTTCTTATGCTTATATATTTTTTTTATCTTCTTGATAAATCCATACTTAGTTTTTGGCTGGGTTTTTCAATTCCTCCCAAAAGTAGCTTTCCCATTTGAAGTGAGTGAAACAATTACAAATCCCAACCTAAATGTGCTATTTTCTTCTCTATAGGAAGCCAGGCAGAGCCAGGCAGATCTCTGTAAATTCGAGGCCAACCTGGTCCACAGAGCAAGATCCAGAACAGGCACCAAAACTACACGGAGAAACCCTGTCTCGAACCCCCCCCCCTCCAAAAAAAAAAGGAGAAAAGAAAAAAGGAGAAAAAAAGGGCCAATTTTTAGGTCAATATATAACAGGAAATGTTCCTGCTTCAACTTTTAATATAAAGTACTTTTTAAAGGTTTATTTTTAAAAATTATATGCATGCATCTCATGAATGTAGATGCTTGCTGAGGAGTATGTATCCAGTCTCAGAACTAGTTACAGGCATAACTGCCTAATGTGGATACTGGGAACTAAATTGGAGTTCTTTGCAAGAGCAGTCAGGAGAGATTTCATGATTTTGTAAGAATTTGATGTGGGCTTATTAAATTTTTTTTTATTTAGTGTGAATTTGTGTATAGGTCATAGGACAACTTTCAAGTGGATGTAGGGGATTGAACTTAGGTTGTCTTCTTGGAAGGAAGCTCCTTTATGGGCTGAGCCATCTTGCTGGACTGGGTTTTTATTTTAAAGGAGAGATCTCTTTAGCTCAGGATTGCCTCAAACGTGTGAATCCTCCTCCTCACCCTACTGCTTGCTGGGATTACGGATGTTTGTCACTGAACCTGGCTGATACTTTTTCTATCCTCAAACACTGGGAGTCTCACTATGCAGCCTACACATGAACTTGTGAGCCTCATTCCTCCGCACCCTGATGGGATTATAGGCATGGGACCCCATGCTTCAGCTCTCCCGACACTGTTTTGAGAAAAACAACCAAATCTTTTTCAGAAGATTGTACTTACCTATAAAAAAAACCCACCAAAACAGATGGCTTACAAGGATGAATTAAGACTGACCTTGACAACAGAGCACTTTTTTCATCTTTATATTTAAGATCATGAGAAGCAATCAATAAATGCTAATAATATCCAAGAATGAAGAATCTTAAGTTATAATTATAACACAATAAGACACAAAACAAAATTACAAAAGGAAATTTATTTCAAAAGCATAAGGAAACATTTACATTTAAACAAGGGGATAAACAGGTGTCTTGCCGAAGAAAAAAACGTATTTATGGCATGAAGATTTTCTTCAAATCTCTGAAGCAAAAAGAACTAAGTTATGCACTATTGCCTAGGCAAGGGAAAAGAAGCAAAGGGAGGAGGAGGAATGCAGTGAGCTCTGCATCAGACATGAGGTCAAGTTATTTCTGCTGAGTTTACAAATACACTCAGACAAGGAAGGAGGAAAAATTATACTATCTCCAAATTTATATTGCTGTAGTCCAATTCATTTTTGTACTCGAAATGGCGTTAGACCGTGGCTGATCTATCTCTGAGGTCCATACTAGATGGTCACAGTTTTCAATTGGCAATTCCATGTTCCTATGTCTGTTCAGATTCCAAGGAAGCCTAGGTTCAGCTCAGTCTTGTGGAATGTTCAGAGATTATTGCCAGCACTCCTTAGTCAAGCTGACCAACTTCTTGTGCTCACTTGTATTATTCTAGACGTCTAGAAATATTATCTCCATAAATATGTGCAGTAATTCTCACAAAGGGGTTTTGCTTTTTTCCCAGTGTAGAAGTAATGGTAATGAAGACACCTGTATAGGAATCGAAACCTCAAAAAAACCAAAAAAACAAACAAAACAAAACAAACCCCAAAACAAAACAAAAAAAAAATTAACAAACCTACTAGCAATGACATCTGAATATCTGATTTGAATAGCAAACTTGGGAAGGAAAATTGACTGTGGAACAAAAATATATAAACATTCAAATAAAGAACAAAGGGTCTGGACTACTAAAATGCCCACGATATGAGACACTCCACAAACCTCCCATTTGTTGTTTTAATCTAAAAACTACTGGCTAACTTATACAATAATCTGATTAATAACCTGAGAAGTTAAATTTTGAAAGTGGCAAAAGCAAACTGAGCATCTTATTTCATGGTACTATGTCATCAAGTCACTTCCTGGGTAGCCCTGGTTATTAAGTCTCCAAATCCTAAATTACACTATCACATCCTGTGGGAACCTGTATGTACACTAGATCTGGCTGTTTTTCACCAACAAGGGTCTTCATATTTGTCTTTGAAAAACAGCCTTTGTTTTTAGTTTTAAACAATAATAATGATGACTGACTCAAATTCCTCCCTACTGGGGTAAAAACCTAGATACCAAATCAATAGTGGATTTAGCCTCAAAAGGATAATCACTATGTCAGATGACCCATTCCTAGAATTTAAAATATTGATTTGTTGTACACTCAAGTTCCATAGCATGCATATATACACACAACATATGCTTATGTTTGTATGTATATTATGCACATGTACTCCCATTCAAATAATAAGACCCTGTGTTCAAAAGCTGTATCCCCAAAAATGGAGAAGAGTGAAGGAAGCAATGCAAAGCACTTACAGCCTCCTAAAAACCTAATGTCACTGGTACACTGTAAGAAGCTGGTGTTTAACTTCTGAGTCTTAGTAGGAATGAATGCTACAACAGTGCCTAGCAGCTTCATTAGAGATCAATGAATGCAAAAGGTTAAGACTGATTATTACTCTTCTCCATATATTGGGCAAAAAACTAACAGAATGGGGAGGAAAATAAGTAACCTTTCAAAAGTGAAGAACTTTACCAGACCTTGAACTAGACTGAAATTTCCATTAGACTCACTTCTCAATAACAAATTATCCAGATGTTTAAAAGCAAGATTCACAAGATGAAGTCTGATAATGAGGATATTGCGAAAACATGTCAAGGCTGCAGATAAAGCATCCAAAAATATTGTTGTGGTTTTACCTTGGACACAACCATGGTCTGTTACAAAAGTAGATCATACATACAAAGGTAGAAAGAACATTAGTTTTCAGCTGAAGGCAGCAGTCTTTTTTAAAGGGACATCCCCGGCAATCCAATGAGTAGTAGATTGAAGAATATTAAGCTCATGACAATGCTGAAGAATGTGATGTACTCAGTAGAGTCTTCCTCGACTACGATTTCCTCGTGTTCCCCAGCCTCGGCCTCCTCTACTTCCCCTGAAGGCTCCTCTCTGCTCTACGAAAAAGCGAACAGTGTTTAGGTCTTGCTCAGGACTTCATGGTTCAGCAAATAGAAAAAATACAGCTTGTAGTTCTGAAAATAGCAGCAGGCCTAATGAAAGCTAAAGTGGTATTCTGCCCGTCTTCAAATTCATTCTGTCTATCAAACCAGGGTAACGCTTACAGAGGCAGAGAGGTAAACAGCAAAGTGCCAGATACTTCAGAGCAGTTTGATTAAATGTTTCTCATTAGCAAAGCTGTTTCAAAGCAACAATGTTAGGATAACCATACTGGTAAGTTCTTATTTTGGTGCCTATCACTATCAAAGAAAAAAACTATAAAAATGTTTGCACTTACACAAAAACCTCTCTGGTCTCTCTCTATATATATGAGAAGTACCTTACTATCAACTGTTTTGAACAACGAGGCTGCGCTTTTGTAGGTGACACACAGGTGGTGTCTTTTGTTGTGATTTCACCATTCACAGCACTGTTACTCATGTTAAGTGCAGGTTCAATGCTGAGCCTTTGCATTCTTTCATGGGCTGTATGAACTCCCAGAACTGTCACAAAGCGCCCCCCCCCCCCACACACACAGTCAAGGCACACAGGAGAACAAGACCAAGAAGAATTAGCTCAAAAGACTCTCTCTAGTGAAGAACACTGTAGTTATCAGTGAGGCTAGACTGTTCATCATGGCAAATGAAATCGATCTCTTTGTTGAACTTCCTCACTGCAGCAATCAAGGCTGGCAATTGTCTTTCTGATCCACAATCTTGGTGTCTTGAAAAATACCTTTTAGGTCAATTTTACAATCCATTTTTAAAATTTTTTGCCATTATTGCTTATTAGATCTTCGATGAATCTCCCTTTTTCCAAAGAAGGAAAAATAATTTAATTCTGAGATAAAAACTAACTAGACTTCTCCAGTGTAGTCAACATTTTTCTCTGTAATATAGTGGAGTTGCAGCGACTGTGGGGACTGTAACTTGTAGCCAGCTCTCACTCCTTCACTTCTTATTTATATTTAAGGAGCATGAGATTTATTCTTCCTTTAACTGCCTCCACTTCCTTTCTCTTTGGCATAGGAGACAAGGAGTTCCACATTACTAAACTATATACACCTAGTCCACAAAAATAATTTTCTTTAAATATCAGTACACTTAGCAAACTAATGCACAAAATTATTAGCTAGGCACTGACTATTAAAAACCAACCTTTCCATTTTTTCAATAATTTTTTTCTGGGGTATGAACGATACACAAAACAATTTTCTAGCTTTTCAAAGGAATCCAAACAATAAAATTTCATTTTTAATACAAAGAACAGAGTTGCTTTCATTGTTCAGCTACATATGAGTTGTTAAACTCTGTGCAAAAGTATCATAAAAGTCTGTCATCTCTCTATGTTGAGCATTTCTTTTTGATGTTCACTAAATAAAATTACTGTTAACATATAGGGTTCCACCCAAGTTTCTTCTTTTTTGGTGAGCTTCATTCTAAAGGACAATTTAGCATTTTAACAATTATTTCAATGATTTCTATAGTTTCTCTTAACTTTTAAGTTTTTATTAAATTTGTGTGTGTGTGTGTGTTCTGAGGATCAAAGCCAGGGCTTTGCATAAGAAGGCAAATGCTGTAAGCTCCATTCCTAACTGCTGGAAAAAAAAAAAGTTCAATTGTGCCTAAGAATGTGCCCAGATCCTGGAAAAGTCTAATAGAGAAAAAGCACAGCAATAACAAACTGTAGAATGTCTAGTACTCCTGGCCTACTGGGGAAACTCCATGAGCAGGAAGGAGACTAAAATGAGCATCTATCTTACAAACAATGTGACTGAATATGTTCTAGTCAAGTGACTCATCTGTGGGCACCAAACACCACACCTGACAAGAAAAACTATCATTTGACACCGATCAGTGATAGAAAACCCTTTAAACTGTCCTTGTGAGAACACAGCCATGCTCCCCAGGGCAATGTACAACACTGGCAGAATTCACCCTTACTTTCTACACCAGTGGGGCTTTATCTGCTTCGCAGGCTACTTTGCCTTTTAATCACAATGAAGATTACTGAAGTAGCTCAAACCGTGACCCTAATGTTGAAAATTAACTTCTTTTTTTGAGACAGGGTCTGTTTATTATGTAGCTTTGGCTGTTCTGGAACTTGCTATATAGATCAGGCTGGCCTTGAACTCAGACATCTGTGTGTCCCTGCCTTCTAAGTGCTGGAATTAAAGGTGTCTACCACCATATCTGTTTTTTTTTTCCTTCCACATTTTTAATAATAACACTTCCACTTTTATTTATTTAAGACTGAATTTTGTTTTATTTTTTAGCAGCTTTTAAAATTAAAATATAACCACATCCTGGTTTACTGGCATACAAGCTAAGGTGTCACATTTTCTACATTTGTTCTCCAACTTCTATCAGGCAGAGAGTTCTATGAGACAAAAATCTTCCTGGAAACTCATAGTAGGCATGTAACCGCCCAAGAGAAGAGGAATACTTTTTTTTTCATACTGTGCAAAACCTCATGGCTACTTTCATTCATGCTACATTCTCACAGCATCTAACTGATTTTCCAATTGGTACAGATAACACATTAAGTCAAAAGTTACCAGAAGGTAATATCCAATATAATAAGACAATGAAGACTCCTTTCTGTTTACAAAATGCTCTCAAAAATATTCTTACCTGAAGCTCATAAGAACTCTACTATCCCTATTTTTCAGGTAAGAAGCAAAGAGACACACGTTTATATGCAGTTAGATAAATACCACTCAATATATCCCCTAATTAAGTCTTTAAGAATTCATTTAATGCCGTGAGGTGGTGGCACATGCCTTTAATACCAGCGCTTGGGAGGCAGAGGCAGGCAGATCTCTGAGTTCAAGGCCAGCCTGGTCTAAAAAGTGAGTTCCAGGACAGCCAGAGCTGTTATACAGAGAAACCCTGTCTTGCAAACCGAAGACCAAAAACAAACAAAGAACTCATTTACATGAGAGGGTTCATTTCTCAATCTAAAGCTGGCTTTCTTCTATCTGTCTAGTCAACACAGAAATTCAGGCACTGTAGAGGAATTTACTTAATGTCACCATTATCTCACTTGGAAACAGAAATTGATGTAAGTAAAATATGGCTCAGAATATACTTAGAAAACAACACTGCAGAATTAACTGCAATTAGCAATCAAAATCAACCAATCAATTGTTTGGTTGCTATTGTTATGATTGTTACTGATATTGTTATTATAGAGACACAGTCTATAGTGATCTAGGCTGACCTCAAACCTGCTGGCTACTTCTGCCCATTCTGACACCTCTGGATACAGGGTTTTGTTACTCAGCCCAGGCTTGCCTTGAACTTGTGATCCTCCTGCCTCACTTTCCTGAGCACTGGGATTATAGGTATGTGTCATTATACTCCATACATTCTTTTAAAAAAGGATTTATATGGGGAAAAGCCAGTAAGAGACAGACTTATTACTAGTTCTAGAGCCTTCAGAGAGAATGGACAGGTGGGAAGTTCTCCTAGCCAAGGGGGAGTAGAAAGCAGTGGCAGAAAGATTGCATCTTGGGTTAAAGAAGACAGTGTAACTAACAAAGCATCCTCCCAGCCACACAATGCTCCGCCATCTGACTCCATTTCTATGGCTTCTCTTTCAGCTAGCCGCAGAAAACCAGAGTATTTTCAGCAATAGGCTGATAAGTCCCAGAGACCCTCTAT